CAGGGCCGCTTCCCTATGCATATGTGAAGTCTTCCTGTCTGGGTTAGGAATTGGAGAAGTGATCCAAAATCTTCATTGGAATGGCCTGTTTCATGAAGTGAGTCCTGATTTAGAACATTTAACATATTCCCAGAAGAATGAGCCCCCAAATTCTCAAATAAAGACTGGACAGCTGAGTTCTCACTTTCCCTATCCCCTATTCCATCAGGCCCTAATAGAGTAGCGAGCACAATGCCTTCGAACTGTCTCTTGAAAGGGAAAATTAACTCACCTCCAATACGATGGCAAAAGGCTCAAGGAGTCAGCACATGGAGCTACATGGTGTCAGAAAGTAACATAGCATGTGACAGACAGACAGACTAGCCTTCAAGGAAAACAAAACTTAAGAAACAGAAGCAGCTTCCTCACAAGATTTAATAAGAATATAACATATTCTTAGAATTTAGAGTATAAATGTATTTTTTTAAATTTTTTATTGATTTCAGGGAGGAAAGAAGAGGGAGAAAGATATATAAATATCAATGATGAGAGGGAATCATTGATCTGCTGCCTTCTGCATGCCCCACACTGGGAATCAAGCTCACAACACGGGCATTGTGCCCTGACCGAAATGGAATTATGACCTCCTGGTTGATAGGTCAATGCTCAACCACTGAGCCATGCTGGCTGGGCTAAACATATTTTTTAAAAAGCATAAAGCAAGGTTAGAAAACAAGAATAAAATTAAAAGAAAAATTGAAAGTCTAACAAATCAAGAACAAAAAGACAACATTATTGTAAAAATCATATCTAAATAGAAATGTTAATGTGTATAAGAAACCATGTTGAAAATGTGGTTACTAACAATGGAGAAAAGTATACATATAATCACAGTAAATACAGATGATAGACAAGGAAATTAAAGGCAGAGAAAGAAAATAAAAAATATGAAGACATTAAAATATTATAATAGGAGTCCTTGAATAGTTCTTCTAACAAATGAAATGGAAGAAATATTGAAAAATACAAGAAAGTTCCCCAGAAATGAAGGGCCAAACCTATTCCAGGATATAGAATATAGAATGCTCAAAACTTAAACATCTCGTTTAAGCTATTAAACTCTAAGGAAAGAGAAATAAATCTTCAGATGTCAAACCAGAAAAAGCCAAGGTCCTACAAGGGAGAAAAAAAATCAAGCTGGCTTCAGACTTTCCATTACCACACTCAGTGCCAGGATATCTGAAAGTGGAGAGAGAGCCTGAGATGTTACATCCAGCCAAGATGTTGTTAAATATAAAGAAACAGGCAGAGCTACTTAATTCTGAAGAACTAAAGCAACCTTGAAACTGTTTTGAAAAAAATACTTGATAATGAGAGTTCAGTCAATAAAAACATTCAAATAATTCAGAAATGGAGAAGTCATGGTAAAATAGCTGGTGAGAACCATTAGGTATGTTTAAATGTAGAACTAGTTCTAAACAACTCTGGGAATTAATATTGCAGATAGAATATGAATGCTATCAATTGGTCTAAATGGAAACAACCACTTAAAAAATATGGACAATAGGGCACTACAGATAGAAGTGAGAAAGTACTTATATTTTTATCTTTCCCAACTGATTCCCAATCTGTACTATCTAAAATTATATCATGTACTTTAAAATGCCACACATAATTATTCCAATCTCATATTATTTTATAATTTTTAACCTTAAAATGATCACTTATGGCATAATTATATAGTGCAGAAATTTTTATTTGAAGTTTATCTTTCTCTTTCATTGCTACTATTCAGTTATAATTAAAAATTCATACTTTTTAAATAGCACCTAAAGTATGGTTTCATTTTATCAAAATATCTCTGTACATGTATCTTAAATATTCAGCTAATGTTAATAATGATTTTTTTTCTAGGTTGTGAGGTATTTTTTAAAACTTTAATTTTTCTAACCTTCAGTATTTAAAAACCTATTCTATATCATTATGCTTTGTGTTACTGAAAACAATTGTGCAAATTTTCTTAAAAACTAAAAAATATATTTTTATTGTTTTGTGTTTAGTTTTTGCTTTTTACAGAGAGGAAGAGAGAGGGATAGAGATTTAAAAACATCGATGAGAGACAAACATCAATCAGCTGCTCCTGCACACCCCTTTGAGGATGTGCCCACAACCAAGGTACATGCCCTTGACCGGATTGAACCTGGGACTCTTCAGTCCCCAGGCCAACACTCTATCCACTGAGCCAAAATAGATTATCCGAGAGATGCAAATCAAAACGACAATGTGGCCAAAACAAGTTTGGCTCGGTGGATAGAGCATCAGCCTGCAGCCTGGAGGGTCCCAGGTTCTATTCCAGTCAAGGGCATGTACATTGGTTGCGGGCACATCCCCAGTAGGGGGTGTGCAGGAGGCAGCTGATCGATGATTCTCTCTCATCAATGTTTCTAACTCTCTGTCCTTCTCTCTTCCTCTCTTAAAAAAAATCAATAAAATATTTTTTTAAAAAAAACAAAAAACCAACAATGTGGTACCATCTCACACCTGTCAGAATGGCTATCATCAACAAATGACAAGTGCCGACGAGGATTCAGAGAAAAAGGAACCCTCGTACACTGCTGGTGGGAATGCAGACTGGTGCAGCCACTGTGGAGAACAGTATGGCATTTCCTCAAAAAAACTAAAAATGGAACTCCCATTTGACCCAATAATCCCACTTCTAGAGATATATCCCAAGAAACTAGAAACATCAATCAGAAAGGATATATGCATCCCTATGTTCATAGCAACACAATTCACCATAGCTAAGATTTGGAAACAGCCTAAATGCCATCAGTAGATGAGTGGATTAGAAAACTGTGGTACATCTACACAATGGAATACTACATTGCTGTAAGAAAGAAAGAATTCTTACCATTTGCAGCAGCATGGATGGACCTGGAAACCATTATGCCAAGTGAAATAAGCCAGTCAGAGAAAGATAAATACCACATGATCTCACTCACTTATGAAAAATAAAGAACATTATAACCTGATGAACAAAAAGATAGATACAGAGGCAGTAAAGCATCGAACAGACTGTCAAATTACAGCGGGAAGGCTGGGGAATGTTGTGGGGAGAGGGAGAAAGAGATCAACCAAAGGATTTGTAAGCATGCATTTAAGCACACCAATGGACACAAGACACTGGGGTGGGTGGATGAGAGCATGATATAGGATAGGGGAGGCTGGAGGAAAGTCAATGGGGGGGGAGGGTAATGAGATTTATGTACTATTATATGTAATACTTTAAACAATAAAAAAATAGAAAGTCAAAAAAGATAAAATAAAAAATAATTTTTTAAAATATGCCAAAAGTGATTAATTGTGGGAGATGTGAGTATTTGGAATTATTTTCTTCTTAGTACTTTTCTGTAACTTTTTATATTTAAAAAATTAAAGAATTAATTCATTAAGAGTGTGTGGAGAGTGAGGACAGAGAATATGATACCTTGTGTTTGAAGACATTCCCATGCACTCAACTCCTTTTTGAGGGGTTGAGTCCAGGTAGCACTGAAATCTCCTCTAGAACCATCTTAATGAATGACTGTGGAAGCCACCAGCTCTCAGTGAGCATATGTTTATGGGGGTAGCATACGGGACAGTTTTCTTTCCACCAGAAGGTAGGAAACAGATTTGGGCACACTATGAAAGAGGACAAGCAAAACACCCATTGAAAACATTTTGGGGTTCAAACATTCTTTAACAGCTTTGTTGAGATATAGTAACTCACATATTATAGCATTCACTTTTTTTTTTTTTTTTTTTTTTTTTTTTTTTTTTTTTTTTTTTTTTTTTTTTAGCAGAGAGAACTAAGTCAATGTTTTATTTATTTTTCAGAGAACCATTTCCATGATCTATTTTTCTGACTGCAAAGCATAAAGTTTTGTTAAGAAATTATAAATAGCCATTTGAATCAATCTGTGGCACTGCCTGCTTACACAGGCTCTTTAAATTCCAGTAATGATTTAATACCCAAACATGTCCAGTGCACCTGCCTCTGTGAAATGCAGTGCTTTCCCCTGCTGAGTAGTGTGGGATTCTTTCCCCTCTTCCAACCGGGCTGTTCTTTCTTTCTTTACCCCCTCTTCTTTTTTTTTTTTTTTTTTTTTTTTTATTTATTTTTATTTATTTATTTATTTATTTATTTATTTATTTTTTTATTTTACATATTTTATTGATTTTTTTTTTGCCCCCCTCTAGCATTCACTTTTTACATGTACAATTCAGTGGTTTGTAGTATACTCATCAAGTTGTGATATTACCATTGTCTAATCCCACAACATTATCACCACTCCCAAAAGAAGCCCCATTCTCATTAGCAGTCACTCCCTGTCACCCCCACCCCCCAGCCCCTGGCAACCACTCTGCAGATAGGCTTATTCTGGTCACATTATATGATTGGAATCACACAAATGCGGTCTTTTGTGACTGGCTTTATGCACTCAGCATAATGTTTTCAAGGTTTACCCATGCTGTACATGCATCAGTGCTTCATTTCTTTTTCTTTTTTTAAGAGCATTTTATTATTTTCAGAAAGGAAAGAAGAGGGAGAGAGAAAAAAAAAAATCAGTGATGAGAATCATTACCAGCTGCCTCCTGCACGCCCTACACTGGGGATCGAGCCTGCAACCCGGGCATGTGCCCTGACCAGGAATTGAACCATGACCTCCTGATTCATAGGTCAACGCTCAACCACTGAGCCATGCCGGGCAGCACTCCATTCTTTTTAATGCCAAGTAATATTCCATTGTATGGGTATATCACATTTCATTTATTCATTCATCAGTTGATGGACATTCTGGCTGTTTCCACATCTGAGCTGTTATGAGTAATGCCATTATGAACCTTTATCTACGAGTTTTTGTGTGAGCATATTTTTTTTATTTTCCTTGGATGGATAGTAGGAATGGTATTTCTGGATCATATGGTAACCCTGTTTAGGAGCGCAAACATTTAAACTTTCTCTTCCTCTTTGTTCCCAGGCAGAAATGGTGCACAGCGCTTTCCAGGCCCAGCGAGCTTTCCTCCTGATGGCCTCTCAGTACCAACAACCCCCAGAGGTAAGAGTGCAGCTCTGGTCACAGGGCTGCCTAGGAAATGGGCAGTGTGAGAAAAAACAGGAAGCAACAGAACCAGTTGCTGTGAGTGACAACCTAAAAATGAGAGTTATAGCATGTGTAGGTTCTGTCTCTAAGCCAGACCATGATATGGAACATTTCTTTTGTCTTCATAATCTTATTATGGCCAAATTCATACTGTAACAATTGATATCACCAGTTTAAAAGGTCAATTTATTATGTCACCTGTATCTTGTTTTAATTTTGAATGAACAGTTTATTCTTTAATTTTTATTGTTGAAAATATTGCATAGGTCCTCTTTTCCCCCATTGACCTCTTCCAACCCACCCCCACCTCCCATCCCAGGCCTTCACCTATTGTCTGTGTCTATGGATTATCTATATTTGCATACAAGTTCATTGGTTGATCTCTTCCCTCCCACCCACCCTCTCCTATCCTATTCTTTTTACTATTCTCATAATAGTTTTAGAATCAAGAAAATGTTTACTACTACTTTTTAGTTCATACTTTGTGCTGCTTTGTTATCAAAATGTGTTCACATCTATCATCATATATATATATTCTATGTATGAATTTGATTATCTTCTATTTCATAAGTAGTATAGATAGGCTAAAAAGTATATCTATTACCAGCATTCTTTATTAAATAAGAAAAAATAATTGTTCTGCATCTGAATTTTGGTATATTCAATAGTCATTGAATACTCATTTTAACACAATATCTTAAATTTAAAAGTTCACTTTTTTAAAATTAATTTATTTATTTTTATTTTATTTATTTTTACATATTTTATTTTTTTTTTGCCCCCCTCCTTCCCTCCCACATATCTCCTCCCTCCCCAGGGTTTTATGTCCATTGGTTGTACTTATATGCATGTATACAAGTCCTTCGGTTGATTTATTATCTTCCCCCAGACCCTCCTCCCCTCCCCGCTGTAATTTGACAATCTGCTTGTTGCTTTACTGTCTCTATATCTATCTAAAAGCTCACTTTTAATTCTAAAACAAACTACTGAAATTGAAAAAGTGAAGCTGAGAATCCTGGGAAACCAGGACTTTGACTTTCAGAGAATGAAGCTCAGCTCCATAAAGGACCAACAATTAAGACCTTACACCCTCCCTGGAACCGTGGTCCCTGGCCCTGCCTGTGCAGTGGAATCTATTTTTTAAATATCAGTGCCTAGTTCTCACTCCAAGAGGTTCTGATTCAATTGGTCAGAAAGTGGCTTTGGCCTTGGAAGTTTGTAGCTAGAGCTACCAGAGGCCCACCTGGGTAGATAGATGGATCACTTCCGAGTTAACACACGGCCTAGGCAGACAGCTTTGTAGGGGTGGAAACATTGTGTTTCACTGTGGATGCATTTTCTTCCTTGGCTTTCTCAGTCCCTGATTTCCCCCCTTTTGCAAAAGAGAACAGTGATACTAGGAAATCACAATGTGATGCATTCAAGAGACAGACTTAGCTGGGCCTTTCTGTGATTAAAGTGAGAGGAGAAGTAACCTCAATGCATCATCAAGAGTCTCAGATGGCCTTTCAGCCTCAATTCCTGGTAGAAGTTAACATTTAACATGACGTTGGTTGAGCCTTGCAATTTCTTTCATGCTTAAATAAAAGATTATCTAAAGTAAAAAAAAGAGTCTCAGGTGGAAGGAAGAACCATGACTTACTTGGCCAGTGCCCCACTCAATCCCTTCTTCAAGCACACACGTGCGTGTGCGTGCACAGACACACACATACACACACACACACACACACACACACACACACACACACACACACACACACTTCTTCGTTGGCCTTGCAGTCTTGCACATAAAAGTCACTCATTAAGTATTGGGTGAAGAAATGAATGAATGTACTGGGAAGAGCTATGGTCAGGAGTAATGTGTATCTGAGCATGTGGCTGTGCAGATTCTTGGGTGTAATATCTTGGGTATAGCGCCTCACCCTTCTTCCTCCACTGCATTCTTGATCAAAGGGGGAGGAATGGATCTGTTCCAGGGGACTGTTACCCAAGCAGTGCATGGGCTGGCAGTGTTCCAGCACTTATTACAGTGCTCTGAGCGAATAAACCCCAGCAGTATCAGGTAGGTGAAAAGCAAAGCAATGTCTTGTTGCCCATCCCCCTTTTCATTCCCTCCATCTTTACCCAGAGGACTGTTCTAGTACTTCCACTCAGTGCAAGAGTCGATTTGGGAAGTTACCATCACAGTGGAGAGAACAGTCCATGACCAGGCCTTTATTTTCCCCAGGTACATTCTAAAAAATACATCATAAAGAAGATTATCATAAAGCAAGCTATAGTTTCTCATATTGTAACTGGCCATGTCATCCTTTCCTCCTTTCTTTTCTCAGGAGAATATTAACTCCTGTAATTTCAATTCTTGCTGACATAGGCAGTGGTTCCCAAACTTCAGCACACCTGAAACTCACCTGCAGCGTTGCTAAGTTGCAGGTTTCTGGGCTCTACCTACAGGATTTTCAGTTCATTAGGACCTGGCTGTGGCCTGAGAATCTGCATCTAGGAAGTTCCCGCCTGATGGTGATGCTGCTGGTCCAGGGACCATATTTTCAGAACCTGTGGCTCTCACAAGTATGCCTGTAGCTCAAATTTATTTCAGGAGTTTGCAACTGTCATGCCCAGCTACCTCTTGAGCATTGCTTCTCAGGCTCTCATCTTCACTTAATCACCTGCAGATCTTGTTAAAGTTCAGGGTCTGGATCAGCAGGTGTTTAGATGTTACTACCTAATATCTCCAAAAGCACAAAATCCTTCTGTAGTCAAATATCAAACCTATGTTATTTTCTCCAAACATGTCTACATCAAAGCAAGATATGCTATGCTGCAATAACACACACCTTCAAAATCTTAGTGAGATTTATTTCTTGCTCACATTTCATGCCTATACAAGGTGACTTGCTTTCTAGAGGATGAGTTATTAAATAATTATTCACATAATTATTTACTTAAAGTTGTAATAAGGCTCTGAAATAAAATGAATCTTTAATAGGAGTTTCAAGCATTGGAAAGGGAAGATATTTTTAAGGCAGGAGGACCTCCTAGGGGTGCCTCCAACTCTGCTGATGGAGGCGACCTTTAACTCTGCAGAAGCATGAGACAAGGCCAAACCAACATTAGTGGTCAGTTTTGGTCTGAGGGTTGTATAAGATGATGCCCAAAACTGAGGCTGTGCACCCTGGCCACTGGAAGCTAGCAACCTCCTGGGACACAGGAGAGAACTGATAAAATACTGGAACCCACAACAATGCAAGCTCACAGCTAATCAGTGGACAAATATTTATCAAGTGCTTAACAAGCACTGTAAAAACAAACACCTATGAGATGGGGCAGGGCTTGAGGATAGGCATATATTAAATATGCTGGGAAAAGCCCTTAGGAACCATCTCTCACAGCGTTCTCAATCTAAAGATGAGCTAGGAGAGCTTCAGAGAGAGAGAGAAGTTGGTTAACTCCTCAGTTCCAAAGCTGACAAAATGCCCCAGGATAACTCTGATTCCCAGAAATCTTAGCCAACACACTCCACCACTGCACAGCTGTGTGCGGTGCTCTACATTGCTGCTTTAAGCCAGAGTGCCAGCCTTCAAAGAGGTTAAATTTAGTAGAAGGTGACCATCAAAACAGAAAAGTTTTTTATATCTACCTTACTAATAAAAGTCTAGGTGGTCTTCATGCCTTCACAAAATGGATGCGTGCACAGTGGAGGAAGGGTTCCCGCTCAATACAGGAGCTGCCCCCTGTAGTCAGTGCGCTCCCAAAGGGGGAGCCCCACTCAACCACAAGCTGGGATGATGGCTGACGAGCACAGCAGCCCACCTCCGCGGCAGCACTAAGAATGTCCTACAGTCGGACATCCCCCAAGGGCTCCCAGAAAAGGTGCAAGTTGGGCTAAGGACAGTGGTCAGCAAACTCATTAGTCACAGAGCCAGATATCAACAGTACAACGATTGAAATTTCTTTGGCGAGCCACATTTTTTAAACTTAAACTTCTTCTAACACCACTTCTTCAAAATAGACTCACCCAGGCCATGGTATTTTGTGGAAGAGCCACTCTCAAGAGGCCAAAGAGCTGCATGTGGCTCGAGAGCCACAGTTTGCCAACCACGGCGCTGAGGGGACCTTACTCCACTCAGTGCACAAATGTTGTGTACCAGGCCTCTAGTCAATTATAAGCCAACTGCCAATCAAGTGAGGTAGACCATTCGTGCTACCAAAATTCAGGGAGGTAGGGATCTTGTATACAAAGGATCAACAAAAGCATTGTAGAGGAAATAAAATGACAGTGCAGGAGCAATAATACAGCTCCTTCGATGTAACATTAATATTATAGTAATATTCATAAAGTGGTGGATTTATTTAACACAAACCCAAAAACCTATTTCCTGGGTTAAATATGATGGGGGAAACCCCACAGTGTGCTCATTTAAAAAAAAAAAAAAAAAAAAAAAACACGTTAAACATTATTATACCCATGTTTTCAAAAACTTACTTGACCACAGAGGCTTCTTGTAGAAGAACATCTACTTCAGTTCTGCAGAAGCTGGTGCACCAGTTTGGAAAACGCAGAGTTGCATTTTTTTTTTTAAGTTGCTTTAAATGTTTGATGGTTGTCACTTTGAGTGAATTCTAACTTTTAGGGGAGATTCTGTGGAAGGCAGAATTTGAAGATGGACCCCAAGATTCCCACCACCTAATTTATAATCCCTCCGCTTGAATGTGGATGGAACCTGTGAGTTCATAGAATACCACTCTTTTGAGTAGGCTATGAGGAGGGTGACATATATGTTGTGACATATAAGACTGTCAAAGTGGCTGGAGACCAAGTCTTCTGCTGTCCTTGAAGATAAGAGCTGCCATGTAGGGGGAAGACAGCTTCCGGAAGTTTAGAGAGACGCTCTGCCAACAGCCAGCAGTAAAACAGGGGTCTCAGTCATACAACTACAAATAACCGAATTCTGCCA